GCCAGGACGGCTCCTGCCTGCGATCAGAGATGGGTCCAGGGATCCTCTTCCCAGGAGGAACCCGACTGGCACTACGGAGCCTCACAGCCGGCTGGGAAACTTGTACGGCCGCTCTCTGCAGGCCCAAGTGTGTGTACCGGGGGGAGGATGCAGGGTGGGGTCCCCCTCCCTCATCGGGAGCCGGAAGCTCTGTGCTGGCAATGTGGCCCCTAGAACGCCCTGGGAAAAGCCCAGTGTTGGCGTCTCCTCTCTGTTTTCTTCTTGCTCCTCCAGTCTTAGACGCCTCACCAGGTTCCCCCGGCTCCGTAAGGGAGTCTCCTCTGAACACGAGTCCCCGGGCTCCTGCTCGCTCTGATCCCGTGTCGAGTGGGCGCCCTTCGCGCCAGCCCTGTCCATGCTGTGAGTAGCTGGGACGCAGGGGCAGACGGTGGCTCGCTGGACGCCTCCCTGCCCTGGTCGCTCCCTCTGCAGCGCCTGGCGCCGGATGGGCGGGTCCTCGGTTTCACTTGTGCTACCCCGGTTCTCTCCTGTGGGGTTCAGGGAGACGACAAGCTGGCCGGGTCCCTGGGCACTGTGTGCCGTGAGGGGGCGGTTCCATGCTCCTGGAAGGGGCGGGGCCTCGGGAGTAAGGGGTGGGGCTAGGGCAGCCAGGCCCCAGTGTGCCCCGGTGCCTCTCGGCCGGCCTTCGGAGCCCCTTAAATTGCCAGGCCCCAGGGCAGTTCCCCTGCATGGGGTTGGGCAGCCCTGACTCCCTGCAGGTGGAGTAGCGCCCCGGGGCTCTGTCTACACTAGGGCTCCCCCAGCAGGGCCGTTCCCCTCGCGCCTTAGCGCAGGCCTTGTCGGCGTTGCTGTGTGAGGAGGCTGGAGGTGACGTTTTCCAAAGGTGGCTAATGGGGGTTGCCCCCCCCCTTTGAAAGCCTTCCCCTGAGCCCCTCCGTGTCCGAACACACACAGGGACCCGGAGGGGGCCAGGAGGAAGAGAGAAGAGTCGGGGGCAAGCCAGAGCCATCGGGTGAGGGGAAACTAGTTCCATGGGTTTGCTCCTGCAGCCCCGCAGGGAGCCAGCGGGCTGAATTCCCCTTGCCACAGAATCCGAAGGGGAGGTGTGCACATGCACAGCCCTTGGGCAGCCTGGAAGTCCTGTGCCCGGGAGCACTGGGGTGGTTGGTAGGAGGGGCGCTGAGGCCGGAAACCCAGTGTTTGGTGGCTGGTGGTTGCTAGCCAAGCCGGGGGTAAGGCCGCACTGGCCAGGAGACAGACGAGCTTGTGACGGACCGGGCGGGAGCAGTAGCCAAGCCGGGGGTACGGCCGCACTGGCCGGGGGGCAGACGCGCCTGTGA